AGGAAGATTTAATGATATTCCATACTCTAATAGATTTTGTGGATGTGGTACTAACTGAATTGACTCTATAGATCATATTCTTTTGGATTGCCCTGAATTTTCAGATTTGAGAACTGAAATGATTTTCCCTTTGCTTAAATAGGACTCTGTTTCTTTAAAAGCTAAGTCTTCTTAGTTACTAAGGGATGAAGATAAACAAGTAACTTTGCTTGTAGGAAAATTTTTGGCAGCTGTAGTAAAATCACATTGTAATTCTGGTAGCAAATCTTAGGCTTCCCTTTTAGTGTGTGATGGCTCACTGTTTATGACTTTTGTCATGGAAACAGTAATTAAGAAGAAGTAGTATTGGTATTTGCAAAATATTCAGACATATAAGGAATTGGGCAGAAAGCATCCTGATCCTTATCAAAACTACAAGAGTAGATCATGCAAATGCCAGTCATGTACTGTATTATACAAGGATTAAAGGTCCAAAAAGAAAGGATGCAACAAGGAAATAAGGGAAGGTCTAGAAACACACATTAATTCCCAAATGTAGACATAACGTTACATGACATAATGACCAACGTGCCTACATCCTGAAGATTATTAGGAACCCACCACCTCTGGACCCTTGTACCATTTTATTATTTCTTGCTTATGTTTCTGCCCCACTCACAGTTTCTTCCTTTCTGAGCACACATTAAGTAACTGCTAGTGAAGAGTGCAGGGCTAATCTATCTATACAGGTGTGCCTGGGCAACAGATCTTCAGGTAGGTGTGTGCTGATGTATGCTGGGTGTATGCTGATACACGAAAGAATGTTTCTTTACAGCATGTACAGAAACACACTCCAGTATAGCCTCTTGTCAGCCGATTGGCCTAGGAAGCATTTGTTGCTATACTCTGTGTTAGCGTACTCAACACTGACACTGTTAGAATTGTAAAACATGCAGTTGCAATTAGCAGTACATGCGTGAGCCAGAAAGCATCCTCTTTGTTTTCTAGGCCTTTCTGGTCAATACCAAACTGAATCCTCAAGGTATTCATTTCAGAAGAATAACAGTGTTTGTATGGCTTGTTGTGCTAATTAGGTTACTAAGATACTAACTACCAAACAATTTACAGATGCTGTTCCGGAGGTTTAAGACATTCATCCAGTGGCTTCAGAGCTGGGTCACTCAACCTATGTAAGAAGCAAGGTTGCCAGACTGAACTTGTTTTAAGGGATTATTCTATTTGCCTTATCTTCAAGAATCTTTCAGCCTCAAAAAACAGGACAGATAACATACCCCCTTTAGAACATGTGAAAATTTCAGACATCCAGCACCACAGTTTTCAGTATCCTTCTTCTTGAAATTTTTATTAATTTTAACACATAAAGTAATGAAATAACCCATTTCTTATTACATTCTCATAACATGTGGCAGTAAAAATTAGAGTGATTCCTATTATGGAATCTTGTACAACCCCTTAAAAGGAAGCATTTTAAAAAATTAGGAAAATTTGAACCTAATCTGTATGCATCAAGAACACAGGACCAGCATCCCTTCAGGACACACTTGGATGGCATTTTGGCTGGTCTACCTGTTCAGTCATTATGATTTTGGCATTCCAACCACAGCATACTGGGAGATCCAATAAGTGGGGTTGCCATTTTGTATGACTATGGAAACTCGTGTATGTTTCAGCTTAGGTACTCACAAATGTGTGCCCTCAAAACTCTGGGTCATATGAGCTAGAGATAGAAAATACATATGTTGCTCTGTTCATACAATATGGTAGCTGTGCCTAGTAATTGTGTTTTCTCCCCTTCTGTGCAACAGTATCATTGAAACTGTAATAACTGAAGACAGCTTGTTATGTTTGACTAAGAATGAGATAGCAGTTTATAGTCATTTACAAAAATAAATAAAACGGGGGATGCAGTTACCCATCCTAATTGCATGTCAATACATTGCTTCTGGAGTTGAGGTGGCTCAAGTAGTTAAGACGCTGAACTGCAGGCTGTGGAAGGTCAGTAGTTCAGCAGTTCGAGACCCGGGTGCCGCATGATGGAGTGAGCTCCCATCTCTACATTGCTTCCAGGGTAGAAAAAAATCCATCCATTCAGTAAATGAACACAAGAGTCAAAGCGTATTAGAACTTACTCAGATTAGACTCCCAAACAGCCTATTTCCAGGTTTCTTCAATCCAAATGGACCCCTACTCCAAAGATACCACTTGATCTAAGTTAAACATCCTGATCTCATTTGTGCTTTTCTGTCTAGCCACAGGAATTGGTACATGGAACAGACATGCTGCTTTGAAGACATTCTCTTGAGAATTTAAAGTCAAAAACTTCACCATGGCAAATGTAACATAGTATTTATTTTTTATTTTTAACCTGTTTTTAATTTATTTTGTTCATTGGGAATAAAAGCATTATTCCTTCTGAGTTTTAGTAACTGCATTAGTCAGTGTATGGAAATTCAAACCTAGGCAAGACTATCAATATGTCAATATGGCCAAATCTGTGGATACTTAAATCAAGAGACTGGAATCACACACAGACAAGACAGATCTTTCCACAAACCTGCAGAAAAATCTGAAATGTTAAAAAAAATACAATGGAGGGTCAACCCACCCCCTAAATAGAAGGAACACCACTGGCCATTGCTAGGCAACCACAACATTATAGACAGTCTTTAAACCTTGGTTTCTGTCAGCAAAAAGTGGTGGGGAGGAGCAAGGCCCTTTCCAGGACTGCTTTGGCCTTTGAGAGAAGACTCATTGGCAGCAACCACTGGTGACTCACTACCACAGGATTTACACATCTTATCCAGGCCCAGGTGCTTGCTACTGCTCAACAGCAGCCACCCCACAAAAACCAGTGCAGTGTAGTGGTTAGAATTTCAAACTAGGATCTGGGAGACTTGTTTTAATCCCCACTCTGCCATAAAGGTAGGGTGGCTGGTTGGTGGGAAAGAAAGAAGGAAGCATAAAAAGGGAGAAAATACAGGGACTTTCAGGAAAGGGA